TCCAGCTAATGGGCGGTATGGGATATATGAACGAGGTGCCTGTAGGAAGGATACTAAGAGACGCCAAGCTTTACGAGATTGGAGCTGGAACAAGTGAGGTTAGGAGAATGGTTATTGGAAGGGCATTCAACAAGGAATATAAACAGGAGATATGAGATACTGGCATAGTTTCATGTAAAAGAGATATCTAAAAAGTTCAATACCCACTTCATCATTCTCTGAGTCGTTGTAGGAGCTTTCTTCATTCTAGTATGTCCATAACTTCACTCAGAATGTCACTTTATTCTTTATTCTTTACCTTTCGATTACTGCTTGCGAGACAGGACATATTTCATCTTCTGGGCTCCGCAAACTAGTCTCTTCGGATTGTTCATGGCTGATCATGTTCCTCCTCCATATCGGGCTTCGAACTCATACCCCCTGCTTATCCTCTAGGTTCAACAAAGCAAAATCAGTACATCATATGTAAATGGGAATTTCAAACTATCTAGATCTTTGGCAGAGTACGCATTTCATTTCTGTGTACTAACTAGCCAAGGTGCATAGTGATGAAAGTGAAGAGACAGTGCCCGTCGCCCACCATACTTAGCGCTGGTGTCTCTCACTCTGTATCAACGGCAACGTCACGCGCACCAATGAATACTATATGTATGCTGCCAACATCATCCAAACATAACTGTTTCACTTTTCACTATCTGGCATACCGCCGTCGTCCTCCATCCTCCGGTCACGCCCTGTATGCCCCTTGGTATCTGCACGTAGGGGACAGGGCGCTTCGCGACATCAATAGCCACTGCTGGACCAAGTGTAGACAGGCAGGTCTACGAAACTTACGCACTGATAAGCTCAAAAAATGACATGGAAAGCTTCTTTCTAGGCGAGAGTAGGAAGTACCTCTTCCTACTCTTCAACTTATCACACCCGCTTGATATTTAGGATATGCTGGCAAATCGGTCTAGACGTCTACGCTAACCTGGAAGAACCGCAATGATCAGCAATCAATGCATCGTAGCTACAGTATTCAACTTGAACAAGACGTTCAGCAACCGGCACCAGTAGAGGGTGCTGTATCGAGTGTTGACGGGCATAGACAGAGCGATACAATGCAGTACTACCAGTCAATACGAAACCCGGCTCCAAGTGCTCGACGAAATAGCGCCTCCGCTACTAGCAAACAGTTCGCCAAGACCACTAGCAAGGTGATACTGGAAGGAACGCGTTCAGAGTGACCGTCACTTCCTCAGGCGGCGTGACTCCTTCCACTGTTTATGGTCGCGCACCTACTCACCCCGCTACTCACTTCAACCGCCGCCTTAACCTCAACCTCAACCTCAACCGGCACACCATTGCTGCCCATCATGGTTGACAAAGCAAAGACTCCAGATCCATCTTCGTCAACGACTCGCCGCGATCGGGACAGCAGCCCCGAGCTCGGCAGTCCACCAAAGGCCATCACAGTCTACAACAAGCACACCGGCCGTCCCATCCGCAGGAGTGCAGGCAAAATCAAGAAACCCGACGGCTATGTGAGCTTCGAAGCTGACGATGCCGACCTTTTTACGACAGAAGAAAGTGAGGATGAAGAAGATGAAGACATGGAGCCTCGTGGTCGAGCAAACAAAAGAAAAAAGCGCAAACGTAGCCCCTCCCTTCCATCCCCTCGCCCTGAGCCTATCATCTACAACCAAGAGCTTGATGAAATGACCGATATTGAGGAAGGCGTCCGCTGCGACTCGAGAAAGCCTCCGCCGATAACGTTGCAGTTCAACGTCCCACTAGGCTTTCATGGTCCCCTCTTTGTCAAGCTCGACCGCACCCTCATACACAAGCAAGATGACCTGCACGAGATGAGGCCGATTAAATTGAAAAAGATCCGTCTAGCTTCAGAGCCGACGAAAACAGTCTCGGTGCGCCCCAAGGGATTCACGGATTTGCCACCAGAGCTGCGTAATAACATCTATCGCCGTCTTTTTGCACAAAAAGACCCCGATCAAATGCTCACGATCCCCGCAGTCAGAGGTAGTGGCCCTAATAGGAGTCTTGCAAGGTCGTCTCAGTTCCTCCGGACGTGTAAGCTAGTTCATAATGAAGGCTGTTCGATTCTGTACGGCGAAAACGCTTTCTCCTTCCATCGCCATTACGCAACCCGCGCTCCGTTTTGGGACATTGTCCCCAAAGAGATTGGCTATCAAGACGTCTTGCATTTTCTGAAGATGATCGGTTCAGAAAACCTACAGTATCTTCGTGATATAAAGTGGGTATTCGACGACGCCTGTCCGCGGGATACGCCGTATCTCACGTCCAATGAGCAGCGCCGATATCTCAACGACGAGTATTTACTCAACTGTTTGCGTGTCCTCCGTGATGCCAAGAAGCTCCGCAAAATCACTCTATTCTTCGGTGGGCGTCGACAGCTGCAGTGCTCTGATCACAGATTTCTGGGCTATCTAGAGCAGATTAAAGCAGATGAGGTGGTGCAGTCGGCGGACAGATGGTACTCGCATCGCGAAAAAGCTCATCCACTGGCTTGGTCAGAGCTCAAGGCTACCATGACGAGAAAGAAGAAGCTCTATGAGAAGGAACAATCTTGATGACCGAGATGGTATACAAATATGGATCTGTGACGTAGGGGAATACTGCACTAGGTAGTCCGTGGTGAGTCGAGCCCACTAGCTTACCATATATAAGTATACTCCAGCTCCTCTCACCTTGTCCACCTATGACCTTGTCCGCCTATGACCTTGTCCGCTCATCACCTTGTTCATTCACTATCTTGTCCGCTCATTATCTTGTCCACCCACTACTTTGTTCGCCCATCACCTTGTCCGCTTATCGCCTTGTCCGCCCATGTAACATATCTGAGTATCAAAATAAAACCTATGTATTTCTTTAAGTACTCGTCCTTAGTATCTCACGATTGTTATAGAGGTGAAGAGTGATACCATGACATTTGTAAATTTGTTCAACCATCCATACACAGTTCAGCAACTGTAATGTACACCTAGCTATCGGTCGGGGTACGGGGTTCTTCACCCAGTAGCGAATGGCGTCATGGCCATGGGTACTTGCGGACAAGGCATTTTTCAAGGCAAATTTCATCTGCGGCACGGTCTACTTACCAATCCATCCCTCTTCGAAGATACACAAAAGCACGATATGATTTACATAAAGACGGTTCACAGCTCCCGATGCATTGATTAGCGCAATAAAATGATGTTTGTTCCGCCAACCTAGACTGAACCCCCGTTCGCCGATCGCACTGTGCCTCAACGGCGGATAAATGCAAAAGAAAAAAGAAAGAAAACCTGGCCTTCCTCCCCTGCCTGCCTACCTTGGCATCTTTGTGTATCTGATCCTTTTTTTCTCCACCTTGGACTACCCCACTTTGGAAAAAAACGGACAATCGGACATCAACGCCTAGTCCAGAAATTGGCCCGCCCCCCTCCCTTCCTTCCCTTCTCTCTCCCTTTCGCGTGGGAAGTAGCGGGAACGGACGGGTGGCCTAAAACAGAGAAAGAAAGCAACCGAACACATACTACTACACCAAAAAAAAACGGCTGCCCAATATCAAAACGGGAAACCCGGGAACGCTAGTAATGAAATCCGTACCTTGCATAAGCGAGCCCTCCCTTCCCTTCTGCCGCCCCCCGTCGTGGGTTCGGGCGCCTATGTACGTTAAGGTACGCGCAAATTAAGAAAATACGGGTTCGTTGTGTGTGTGTGTGTGTGTGTGTGTGTGCGTGTGCGTGCATGTGCGGCCGTCTTGCATGAACCATGGTTTGAACCATGTGGTGTGCCACGCGATGCCATTTGCCGGGCTACCTAGTATATGCTTTTGGGTTGGGAAGGGTTGGGAAGGGTTGGTGGGATAGATGGATGGGGTTTGCTAGGGAGGGGTTAGGGTGAAGGTTCCACTTAACTTTATTTAGACTTCGAGATGTGGGAATGATGAAGGGGGGATAAGGGGGAGGCAAAGATCGCCCCGGGTTTGATGCGGCGTTGTTTGTCACGTTTTTTTGGGGGGGGGGGGAGGTCGATAAGAGGGGGCGATCGAGGGACTACTCCAAGGGAGTTTGGGGGGTCTGTTCGCTTCTGCCATCTGCCTCTGCCGTGTTTGTGGAGCTACGAGAGGTAATGGTGCTCTGTCGGCGTATATGTTGGAATAAGGTTGGTTGATTAAAATCTGCATGCATGGTGATAATAGCATACCCCGCTTATAGGGTGAGCCAGCCCAGCCACATTGTGCATTTTTGTATATATTATAGTTTTGTGCTACAGTGTCCTATTTCAGGGTGCACGTCCGTTGTGGCCCCGCTGTGCTAGGTGCGTCTGACCGTATACCCGGGTTTTGGGCGTGGGTTGAGATTGTTGAGGCTGGCTGATATGGATAATATGGTGTGTTATAGTAGAGGCTGGGGCGGGCTTATGGGCGCATTCTGAGCCGTTTTTTTCTTGTATTTCAAGATACTTGGCGAATATGATCGTTTGCCGATCTGGTAATATTTATCTCGTGTACAGGTGGACGACGCTGCTGTTGCGGCTATGTGTGTACGTATTGTCATATCGATATAAGGAGCAGATGACGCGGCAGTAGGCAGATATGTAGTGTACAAGTGTTTCTGCTTGCAAGACTGTTTTTGTGCTCGTTCCGTCCCGTAACCAAAACGTAGTACGCGTGCATGCTGAGAAAAATGTACGTCATACTCGTCTGTATGTGCGGCCCGAGGCAGTGTACATACTTACGTACATGTTCAGGGGAGTGAAGTGAGTTGAGCAGTTTTGAGATGACAATTGCGTGACACATGATTACTGTCCATGCGCCGAAGGAACCCTTCATTACCGGACTTTGGGAACAGCGCCGGATTCGTATTCCACGCGTTTAGCGATACATCCGCGCTTGTTTTCGGGCCGTTAACGGCGATGATCGTATGGAAGACCATGTGGCAGAAAAACGCCGTGGGTTATGTAAGTATGTACGTGCATACTATACATGGCCTGAGCTATGAAGCTTTTCCTTGTCGTTTCTTGAACTCTTCGATCCAGCCGGCAGCCTTGTCCTTTGGAACCACGCTGATGGATACTAGACCATCGACGATCTCTGGCTTCCCGCTTCCTAGGACCTTGCCAAGGCTCATCTTCTTGCCTACCTTGATTAGCCCGCCGGCTGCTGTCTCCATGTACGCTTCTACATTTTCCACCGTGTACTCGTGCTTCTGGTCCCATGGTAGGGGAAAGATGTAGTCCAAGTGTTGGTCTAGTTTCTCCTTTTCAGAGAATGCCTTAATAAAGTCTGATTGCGAGTCCATAGGATAGAGCAATATGACCGGGAATGTCAGTGTCGAAGAAGGATCCATGCTGTTCTCCAGCTTGACCGTTGCATCTTCTAGATCTGGCGCCTTGTCCGTGTTTCGGGTAAGGATGTTTCTGCTCTTGAGGGCAAGTTGCAGTGTTGCACGCTCCGAGGCAGCCTTTGCCTCGCGCTCTCGACGCGCCTTTTCCACAGATTCTACGTACTTTTTTCGAGTCTCAATCTTGGTTTGAAGAGCTTTGAGCGGTCCATTGGTAGGGTCCAAGGCTAGTCCACGATTGCAGGCCCATGCAGCCTCGTCTAGCTTGTTCAACTCCAAGCCAGCAGTGGCAGATCTGTAGAAAGCCTTGACATTTGCTGGGTTGATGTGAAGTGCAGCTACGCAATCTTGGATGCATGAGCGGAAGTTCTCTGCACCATGTCAGTTGATCTGTCATCTAAACATGCTCCCTTGTGCACGACGTACTCTTTTCCAAATTGCACAGTGCTCGGTTGACGTAGACAGCCTCTGCAATTGACCTCTCCTTGTTTGCCTCCTCTTGCTCATCCAGCTCGTCATCGATAACGCCCGGCCCTGCAACGTCTGAGCCTCGATGGGTCTGCGGGCCTTTGAGGGCTGCTATTGCCTTTGTGTAGAACTCCTTTGCATTGGACCACTGCTTTGTCCTTGCGCAGTCGTTGCCCTGCTGGCGGAAGTTTTCTGCAATTTCAGCACGGGTGCCTTCATATGCCAATGCCTTGAGCGCTTCGAGGGCCATGTTGTCGCCACCCTCACCATCTGTTTCATCCAGGCTTGTCATGAAAAGCGGCATGCGGTTCATCTCCTTGAGCAAATCGTCCACAGCCTGCGATTTCACCTCGGCCATGGCGGGTGGCATGTCCGCAGAAGGCTGCGGCGCTGGCACGTTCTGGTCATTTTGTGCCATGGCGTCGCTCGTGAACTCTTTCCCAGAGGTATTGTTGGACCTGGCTCAAGTTGCGCTCGGCGTGATGACTGTGTGCATGAAATTTTGGCGGATGGTCGCTTAGTCACGTGGATGTGGCGGGGGCTCGGGGCTCGGGGTCCCCTGGGTTTGGGCGCACTGTCGTCCCTGCCCAAGTGGCCAAAGATGGAAAAGGCCACAACCACACCACAATACGCACACTCACACTAGCAACGCAACGGCCAGGGGAGAGGGTGCACAACAACCAGAGGGGCGTGCCGGACGCAATGCCAGCACGGCACCATTCCTTCCGCCCCTCATGCTCTACGCGATCCTGCCCGGCGCAGTGTCTAGACGGCGCCAGGTCCGAAGGAATCCTAGCTGATTACGACGCAAAACTCCTATTTGCCTGCTTCGTCCAGGTATATCCGACGGCCCCGAGCAGACGTCGGCACACCTGGTGCACAAGAAGAAGCAGAAACATACCCGACCAGCTCCTTGCATCCCACACTGCTACCAGGACCGTTTGGTGACATGTCGTCGCCCTCATCGTTACGGTTGCACAGTACCCTGCAGCGATTCTGCAGCCGTCCGCACATCGGGTCCACTCGCCGCGCCTGCAGGTGGACCAGGACGACATGCAGGCAATCTACGTATTATATTGGATATCGAATCAGTACAGTACTCGACAAGCCCCACGACTATTGATCGACGACTGGCTTCGCTGCGCTGCGCTGCAAGGATGAACAATCGATTGATTGTTGAAAAGCCTCCAGGCAAAGACGCGCCGGCAATGCAATGCCTTTGCTATGCCGCGGGACCTTGCTTAATCGAAAGGTTGTCCAGGTCAGGCAACATGACGTGACTGACCCTGTCTTCGAGTCGTGTCAGCATCGAATGCATGACGACCAGGAAGTTGAATACACACCTACATACTTGGTGTAGTATGCAAAGCTGGATCCTGGAATAGCTCCTGGCAGGTCCAAGTTTGACATTTATCTTGTCGATCTAGACACATGCTCGGCTCCTTTACCACCGCCAAGCGCGCACGGCCATCCCTTGATCCCAAAGTAGAAAGTCATATCGCAGCTTCACTCCGTGGGGGGTGTTAGGATGGATAGGGTGAGGCTGATTGTCCATGCAATTGCCTTCCCCGTCAACGCCATGTATAGCCACATTTTCAGCCAGTCGGGAAGGCTGCAGTGCAGGAGGTTCAAAGGACGATTTGACCGTGGACGGTATCAGGATCGATGCTCAAATTACAAGCTGAAACCTAACGGCATCGCGCCGGGTAGTTGGGCGCTATCGCGCCTCTACCTGCCCGGACCGCACAATGAACGCCGACCGACTTTAGCTAAAGATTCCGCCGGACAGGCCAGACTTTTTTTTTTTACTGACACGAGACTGCCACTCTTGTACACATTCTCGCTATGACGACCTGTCCCCTTTTGACGTGACTGCCGATACGGGCTTTTCTTCGCAACGAGCTGACAGCCATTCCTAGACAACTGCGCCTCTCACTCGCTAGCGCATCTTTGCGCACAATCACACCCGTTGCCCAGCTGGATTCGATACGGCCAACCACACTCGGATCATCATTTCCCTTTACATGTAACCTGCTCTGACATTGGCCATCTTCGCGGGACGCATGTCACGGAACGTTAGACCTAGGACCGCAGCCAATGACCAGCAGGCAAAAGCCACAGCGCGGGACGACTCGTGCGACAGGGGATCCTTGGTATACGAAGTGCATGCCTGCAGGGTCACTTGTGCGCACTAGTAGGAAGCTCTGCATAAGCTCGCGGGCTCCGAGGTCGAAACAAATTTAATAGGCACAGATGGGGTTTGATTGATTCTGCGATCTTCATTTGCTACTTTGGTGGCACTCCCGTCTCCCCCAGAGGACTGTGCGTACTTGTGCCTGCGTCCCTTGCCCCAGCCTGATGCATGGTCGAGTCGTGCATGCAATGCTCAAGTTGTGCCTCGTCCCTCCCACTTGTCCTTCTCCTCATTCTTCTTACGCGTCGTGTAGCAGATTACACGGCTTCTCTTTGTCGTTCTTCCTGCTGCGCACTACCTGACCGTCTTTCCTCTTTCTTTTCCAGAGCGATCTACTCTACGTCATTTGTCGCACTCCTTGTATTGTCCACGGTACTCTTTTACTCCAACGTCCCTACAACATAATACGTCACAACGCCGCACACGATCGCAAATTTGCCTGTACTTCTTCCGAATAACTGAGCGTCCGACACCAGACCGTTTTGTTGCGAGTTCAACCGGTACGTAGGCCTCAGTGCTGTTAGCAGCTACTGCGTCGTGGGACTCTGCAGATCTCTTCCCCGCTTTCAGGTACTCGTTGGTACTTTTGGGACAGAGCTAAACCAAGTCACTAAAATCCCCACAACCTGTTCGTCGTGCCTCTCTGTTCGGAATCTGACTTGGACATAGGCATGCGCTGAACCGTTCACACCCGCAGCACCACTTTGTTGTGGTTCTGACCCTCTCTCCTAGACAATTGTTACCTTTCCTCAATATAATCTTCTCAACATGTCTACCGACTACTATTCGGACAGCGAGGCCTTCGCTGCTAGCCGTTCATTACCCACACCCGCTGGAACTCCATACGACTCCTTATCACGACGGAGCTCCCATCATGAGATACCAGTCAGCGACATTGGCAGTTCGCCGCCTCCTATGCCACCTGACCGAGGGTTCGGCTCAGGGGACGCCGCCAACGACGAGAACATCTCAATTCTTGACCCCCGTCGTTTCACACCAACATTACATGCGAACCTAGTCTCGGAGATTCTTAACCTACGTCGGGAACTTGATTCGAAACACAGATTCATTGATGATCTGGAGGCCAATCTAGATGCAGCCCGATCTGACAATGAAACACTTGCCAAACAGCTGGCTTCCTCCAACAAGGAATGCAAAGTAGCCAAGCGCCAACTTCAGCACTTTGAGAATGAAACCCTTTCCGCCTTGGAGGAGATCGCAGGGGAGAGAGACAAAATGAAGGAAGCCAACGTTGATCTACGGCAGAAGCTTGCTGCAGCAGAAAAAAGGACTCGAACTCAAGATGACGATTCCACCAAGATGCACGACATGTGGGCTCGCGAAAAAGAAGAATGGGCTGGGGAAAAACGAGCGTTGGAACGACGGGTTCACGTATCCGAGACTAGGCTGAAGATGCTTCTGGACGAGATTGCCATGCACGAAAAGGCCAATGAAGAGGCTCGCATCGCAAGCGATACAGAAGATGCTGCCGGAGATGCAGGCGTGCCAGAGAGTGAAGCAGGCAGCGTACGCTCTTCGCCCCAGCGAAGACCATCTACTCGCATCGGGCGCCACTCCAGGGATCGAAGTAATAGCAGTTGGAAGAGCATTGGAAGGAATTACCGTATGTCTCTAATGAGCGCTGATGGGTACACTCGTGGAAACGGTATGAGTCTTGCCGATGAACTCATATTTGACGAGGAGGAGGAGGAACTGGACGAGCTGGAGCTTGATTCTGATGACTTCACCGAGCATGAGATGAGAGCGCGTAGGGTGCGGGAGTCGCGACAGTCGATGTTGCCTGACGAAAAAGCAAAACGCATCCTAGGCTTAAGTAATGAGTCCCAGCATGGCACCCGGGATAGCCCTGCTACATTGGTTGAGGAGCCGGAGCCGCGCAAGGGATCCTACGAAACAGAGCAGTCCTCTGTGACCCTAACGTCACGCGATACCGTTTTAGTCTTTCCACCGCCACGCCCTCTCTATGTTGACACTGGGGTCCAACCTACTCCTCCACCATCCCCGATCAAGCCGGTAATGATAGAAGCGGGTTCGCAAACCACCGAACCTTCTCCTCAGATAAAACTGAATGACTGTGCATCTACTGCAGCAGAAATAGAAGCCAACCAGAGTCGGAAACGGGTGTCTGTGCCCGTGAGCGCCAGCTCAACACCCCATGTCATCTCTGAAACATGCATCATGAAATCGAGCTCTGTACAGACCGTTGAGCCTTTAAGCCCGCCGCCTACCCCCAAGATCCCTGTGCCCTCGGAACAGGCACTCCTGCCACAAGCCATTCAAGTTGAGCTAGTCTCCACAGCCACACAGACAGATACCTTGGTCCAACCAGATGTTGCGCCTAAGATACCCAAGAGAGCTAATCCGCCAGCTCCTATTCCAATCCCGTCGATTGCCATCCACGCCCCGACATCAGCGCCTTCGTCACCTAAAGCTCCTATTCTTCCTCCGGGCACCAAGACTGTATCGACACAGACAAGTGGAGATCTTGTAGCTCCAATGCAGTCAACGGCAATGCAGACCGAACCCATCAGGATTGACCAAAGACCGGTCAAGCTCCCGCCGCATCTCCTTCCGTCTGCTATTTCTTCTAAGCCCGGAACACCCGAGACGAACAATGACGGAGTCGCCAGAAAAGATTTCCAACATTTGGCCACAGATGCCCCTGGACAGCCCACATCGAAGATAGCAGCTCGCCAAAATCTCACTGCTCGCCTCGAAGAGGCTGCGGATAGGGAAGTGGAGAACCGTTATCCTGGAAACAATGATAACGGGCCATTGTCTGGTCAGATGCACTCAGACGCACTTAGTCGACCATTCCGCACAAGCAGTCTGTTCGCTGGATTCGATGGTCCGTCGTCTGAGGAAGAAGACGCAGAAGGTGAACTCAGCGATGATGACTTCAGGGGCCTTCAATACTCTACGGCAATGCTATCGTCACGGAATGCGAAGAATGGACGACCAGTAAACCCTCCGACACCTGTGCCAGAAGACAAGGAAACCTCGCCGAATCCCAGGCCATCAGTGGACTCGGTTAACAGCGTGAACATGCCTTCAATGCGTAGCTCCATGGAGAAACCGGTCAAGATCGGCAAGGCTCAACGTACAGTGATTAGCCGCCAGCCCAGCATCCGTCGATCTGCAATGATACAGAGCAGCTCTGCGGTTCACACCCGTACTCGCAGTGGAAGTGTTGGCAGTATAAC